ATCATTTGCTGCACGAATGTGTAGGGGTGTGCCAAGGTGGCTAGGTTTGGCGCGGCGCCAGGCCGTTTTCCACCAGCTGTGGTAGTCTGCCAGCTTCCACAGCTGGTGAAGATAAGGTCAACCCCAACTCCTCCCCCCCCCCCGGCACGTCCCAGCGTCCTCAGCGAATAGGCTATTACTGCACAGCACCGGGTCGTGAGCTAACAGCTATCCAAGTTCTCTAAAATGGCCGAATAGAATCAATACATGCCCTAGTTCGCTGCGGATGAAGGGGCGTATCAAGCAGTATGGGTGTGCCACGGCGCCAAACCCGTTCTCTGCCAGTTGTTGAAGCGAGTATGCGACAACAATTGGTACGAATGATACGAACGATATGATACAGTTTGTCACTTCAACAGCTGGTGGAGAACGGGTTTGGCACCGCGCCAAATTCATCCTGCCTGACACGCCCCTTCGTCCGCAGCGAACTAGACTATGAATCTAATCGTAACCAAATGCGTGGCTCTTCCCACGATAGGGTTAAAGGCAGTGGGCACGACGGCTGGGGGCGTGCGGTTGCTGCCAACATCATTGGTGTAATGGCTGCGAGAGGGCACTTGGCCACGCCCTGATCAGCTATTTCACCAATGACGCTGGCACCAACTGTCCGCCCCTAATCATCATGCCTATTGCTTGTAAGGGTATGCTGCGCATTCTACTAAAATCTATAAGTTTCCTTTTTCAGTTCATGCTCCGCTCGCGAGCATAGATGTGCTCCATCTGAGGTATTGTATGGGAATACGACCGCGATCTACTCGACTTGTTGCTGCAATGGAAGTCACTGTACAACTATGGAAGGCTATCGTGAGTTTGCTGCTTCTGCTGGAAGTTGAAGGGGGGGGGTGCTGTAGAGCCGGTGTCTCCTTGCTGCAGTTACGGTCAAGGAGTACCAGATTCGTGTGGGAGGATAGAAACATTGAGTTGTACATCTTCGACCCCAACTACTCAATCCCACATTGCTTTTAGTTGAAGGCAGTTGGCACGATAATATGGTACTCGGCCTAAATGCTAGCAGGGCGCTATATAAAAGGAAAATGGCGAAAAACGAAGTGAAACGGTCGAAAACTGCGAAGAAAAGCCTTCGTTCTTGAAAGCAATTTCGGACGAGTTTCCCGTAGGCACCCTGCCAATAACCGCTACGGTAGGTACGGCTGCATGTATGTACTCATATATCCATGCAGCACCGCAGCCGCTTCATACCAATCCCTTCGCTTCATATTTTACTTAGCAAATGAAGCAATACGAGCATCAGGTACGGTCGTCCATTTGTGGGCGGGCGGGCGTGGTGGGCGTTCGGGTCGGTATGTTGTAGTTTGATAGGGCCCTTATAAGGGTACCTTCCCTGGAAAAGGCGTTACGCAGCGCCTGCTTAGGGTCGCGGAATTCTGTCCTGCCAGGCGTATTGACCCTACTCGTTTTTGGGGATTTATCGTGCCAACTGCCTTTAAGCGCTACGATTTTGAATGGAAGTAGCATGCGTGACGCATCCAAAAATATATTGATTCATGGCAGAGATTCCATCCTTTTTATTGATCCATCTGAAGTCCTTCTCCTCTCCCAGTCCTTAGTTTTTCCGAACACATTTTGTACAGGACAGAGGAAAGTCTCATTCTTATTCCAGGTGATGACGATACCATCACTGAAGAAGATGTGAGTTCACACCGACAACTGAACTATTCCCAAGGCGTAGTTCGGCGACGAGGAGGGCTATCTGCACTTTCGCTGCTCACTAGTTTCTCATTCTGGTGAAACCTGTAAACTCTTGTGAATATAAATAGCTCGTTTAGCCACCATCTGTTAGAACCTGTTAACTCTTTGTAAACTCACGAAACGGCTCTCTAGTTGGGTTGACATGTCGGTGGGAAGTAGCGAAAATGCAAAATGCCCACCCCCCCCCGTCGCCGAACTGTCCCGATCTGAAATGACATTTCAATTGCAGAAGATACCGTTCCATGATGTTCATCTACTGTTCATCCTTGCCTTTTGTTATGCGACGACGGCTGCTGCTCTAACTATCAGTCTTACGTTGACTTTATATAAAGCATACACCAACAGGCTCATCTTAGAAATCGAATGATCAGTCCGTCGACTTTCAACGTTATTTGTCTCATCGAAACAATATTCACAACACGATAATACGTTGGCTAAAATAAAGATTTTCGTTTGCCCATTAACCCAACCAAATAGATGGCCCTGGGTAGGCTTTGAAGACAAACTTTGACTGGGATCTATAAGAAGGCATTCTGATGACGAGAAACCAGAGTGAGCTCCTCCGAGTGCGCAGGTCTCGAAACCCCGCAAAGATAGGGCCTGGTGTGACTGGCGTGCGTTTTGAAGCGCTGCAAACGGACCTTTCCACATAATGGTGCAACCCATCGAGGTCTGTTAACATGTGTTTTGAGGGGTATTCCTGGCTGCGATTGAGCTCACGCCCCTGACACGCCCTATAGTTTGCAGGGATCAGGACTATGCCTAGCCGCGAAAGCAATGTCGACTGAGAGGGTCCAGACAGATTAGGAACAGAGAGGGCACTGTTTACAGTCTGCGAACCTGCGTTGCTCTCGAACATGAATGCTTTAGCGAAAAGCCTCCGATACGTATCGATTGACGGTTCGGCGAAGAGCGCTGCGATTGCACGAAACGATTTTGATACGTATCGACGAGCGGTTCGGCGGGGTTAGTCGGAAACGCTAGCTCCCACCGCCTGGACGTTTTTCTCTATGCGGACCAGGCATGATACGCACCTATTGCTTTTGCCGAAACCGCTAACCGCGGCCACGTTTTCTCTGAGCAGTTGGCGATTCTCCGATCGATCCGTACTTATTCTTCGCCGAATCGCCCTTTCGCCTAGCATGAGATCAAGTGCTCATGACTGTAGCACATATATTAGTACATAAAGACCAGGTTGTGAAGTGGTGTGAATCAGAAGGCAACTCTAATGGCAAATGGTAAGTTCTGAGACAACACAGCAGGTGGCACAAGTCGCCCAGGCAGGACTCTCAGGCAGCGTTCAGACTTCGTGTAGCACGTTGTAACGCGCTGTGACATGCTGTAATTGCAACAGCGCTCTGCAACACAGCAATTGCGAGAGCGCTCAATTGCCGTCTGCGCCTGTGCTCACCGAGATGTGGAGCGCTGTTCAAGTTGTAAGCGCGTCGACGCGCGTCATCTGCGACAGTCTGAATATTGCATAGGCTGAGCGATAGCTTTCTTTTCCAGTCAATCGACCAGTGATTCCTCGCAAAGCTATTACTAGGAATCTGAGTCATTTCATCCTCTTCAACCCTTTCTGTGTCTAATGGGACCATGCTCGAGAGAGCGAATACCTTTCACCTGGAACCGAATACCTTTTCTACAATATCAATGAGGAATGCTAGTGAAAGCTTGAACCCTCACGGGTCATTTAGCAGATTCATACTCATAAAACCGCAATACATTTCATGGGTGTGAGACTTGGAGATTCGGAACATTAAATGGTGTCGTTTGCTTGATATATGCTTACGTTGTCTGAAAAATTAGAGGTTTGAGTGAAGTGGATGGATGAAGTCATGCTCGAGGCCAAGAATGAATCAGAATGACGGCTGTTGGGAGCCATCAAGGATCGGCAGTTGGAGTCAAACGTGTCAAGGTTGTTATTCAGCCTTGAAATCTGGTCCTTCTAGGGTTACAGTTGTAAAGTCCGTCCCGAAAATGAAATTCCCTGTGAGAGCTCTATTTTAAGTCCGCATATGGTCCAGTGGATAGCTGTTCAACGTGTGGTTCAGCCCTTTTCCTGTGAAAGGATTGCAGTCAACATTTTTGATTTATCGTTGCAAGCGCGTACGGCATCAAAAGCCAGTTTCACCGAGGGAGCGAACGCGCTTCCCGTCTCCACCTGCGCTTTATTACGTAATGTTGCGGCTATTCAGCCTTTTCTTGGCTTTTATCGTTTTGACGACAGCCGCCCTGTTGAGGTTAGAATTTTCAATTGATAGTTCTCTAGTATTATTGAGACTGGTCTTCTATGTGATTAGAGAGCTATGGGTGGTTAGTGGTACCCTTTGGAACATCTCGCTGCTTGGAAAAATTCTTCTGAGTGAGATGCTCGATTTGGAAGGAATAATTTTGTTCCGAGAGCACTTTGCACTCGACGGCCCACCTTTTGTCTCAGAGGGGCTATAATTGGCGCTGTAACGGCAAAATTCACCTTGGGAACGATGCTGTTAGGCCCAAAACACACTGTTCCCAAATCTCCTGGGTGACTCCACCTTCCAGTGGACCTGCCAATCTGGCAAAGGAGAAGTTATAAGTGGGGACCGCAATGGCGGTGAGAAAAGTTGATGGCCTATCACAGCCATCATTTCCCAGAACTCGTGTTAAAAGTACGCTCTTGAGATGACTGGGTTAGTCATCCCTCTCCGACCTCGAGCAAGTGCTGCAGACGCTGGGGCGTGTTGAAGGACTGGTCTGTTGCCGCTGCAGTCCGTTTTCCACCACTTAGGCAGCGTTCAGACTTCGCGACGGCAGCGCTTCGGTCGCGCGATTCGACGATCGATGCGCATGCTTTCGACTGCATCGATCGCGTCGAACGCGCGACCGAAGCGCTGCCATCGCGAAGTCTGAACGCTGCCTTAGGCTGCGTCCATACTTTGCAGCAGCGCCCACCAGAGAGTGTCCACCAGCGACCACTAGCGTTCCGAGCGTCTGGCAGCGCCAGCGACAAGGGTAGTGTTGGTATGATCGAGCGTCTGCCAGCGTCTACCAGCGTTCACCAGCGTTCACCAGCGACCGGAAGTAGAGAGTATGGGGAAGTAGGAGGGTAGCAAACAGCTGGATTAGGCGTCGTGAAATTGTGGCGTGTGCAACCGCACCGTACAACTACACAACACCGTACATTATATTGCATAATTCTGCGCTTTAGCAGTTCTGTGGTGCATGTTCACACTTCGCATTTCCACGACGCCTAACCGAGCTGTTTGTTACTCTCCTATTCCCCCACACTCTCTTCTTCCGTCGCTGATAGACGCTTGGACGCTGCCGCAAAGTATGAACGCAGCTTTAATCGTGCTTGAACAACTGGTGGGAAAAGGGCTAAAGCTGCGCTAAAGCCAATCCCCTATCCTCTTTAACCCCCACCCCCTACCCCTTTCCCCCCTCCCCCTTGACAGGTCCCACTGTTGGTAGTATCGCGCGGCAAACGACAGGGCGTGGCGTGTTTGCCTACTCATTATTGACGCTTTATTCAGTTTTCTTCGGGGGCTGGGGGGAGGGAGGTCCTTGACAGAGCTTTTGAAACATTGAAGTACACTGTCTTTTTTGAACTATTTGAGGGTAAAGCGAAATGGGTTCACGAACAATTACGGCTACGGTCCCCATGGTATCGGTCCGAGCAATGTCGGAGTGGACAGCTTCGGCTTCTTCAAGTAAGTGATGCGCTGCTACCTACTAGAACTGGAAAAGGTCAATACTAAGTTTCAGGGACAAGTACTACAACAGCGGTCTCCCACCATTATACACTCATGCCGCTTATCGTAATTACTACCACGAAATTTCGTTCCACAAGAACAAGTATGGACTGCCAGCACCAACCAACTTTGAAACTCTCCAACAAGAACGATTTGGTGAGCTTTTGAAGAGTTCATTCAGGAGCTGTTGGCTCAAACCTGGGATCAGTACCTTAGAGCCAATACCTTTTCTTTTCAGGGCCATATTACAACGGCGTTTGGGGATATGCCGATCACTCACCCTACTGGTACGGAAAGAAATAAATTGTGGCATGTCATAAGTGGTTTTTCATCACTGTACCGCTTTTTGCCTTATCTCTAATTTTCCTGATTTGTGCTTTAAGCCTGTTTCGTACTAACCTAGTCTAATCATGTTTTTCTCGGTCGCGCGACTTTGGCTGCGTTCATACTTTGCGGCAGCAACCACCAGCGACCATCAGCGTCCACCAGCAACCACTACAGCGGCGTCCATGAATGGAGAGCATGGGTTGATAGGGGGCAGCAGATAGCTGGTAGAGTATGAAGAGGTAGCAGAGCAGCGGACTGCTGATAGCGGGTATGGGGCGGTAGGAGCGTACCAGCTGTCTGCTACCCTCTTATCGCCCCATACACTGTTGCACGCTGCTGGTCCCTAATGGGGTGCCGTAAAGTAGCCTTATGATTAGGAACCGCGCTGAGTAATTGCGCTATTCCTCGGGTCGCAAAGTATGAGGGCGGCAAGGTTGCTCGCTTGTCTCAAGAGTAACTAAGCATCTATTACTGTAAGTCTTCAAGTACATAATAAACAGTTACACTGCTGCTAAGTTGATGATAGTTTCGGAACGAGTTCATCCAAACTGGTATCTCGATGTGTCCTTCTGTAATTTTCGGGTCCCTGTTTACCAAAGTCCCCAAAATACCATGTACATCATATAGTAACCCTTATTATTACTGAAACAAGCTGGCGCAGTTCGGCGACGCAGAGGGGCATTCTGCACTTCAACTGCTTCATTTGTTCTGCTTCACAAGTCCCGCACTGGTGGAGCCTGCCAACTCTTGTAAGCTAATGAAGTAGCTCAGGAAATGAATTCCCCCATGAGTTTCCAAGCGATGACAGGTACATTTGACAATGTTTAACAGCTGGTCCCTACAATCTTTGACTGGTATTACTTCGTGAATTCACAAGGTTTCACTGGTCTCCATTTGATGGCTCGACACGTCGATCGGAAGTAGCAAAATTGCAAGATTCCCCCCCCCCTTCGTCGAACTGCTTCCAGGTTTACTTTCCTGTATAGTGGCGG